CTATTTCTAATCTATAGCTTAAATTATACACGAGTGAAATACTAAAAAACTATGATGTTCATAAAATCAGAAACAAGAATGCCCATTATCATATTCAATCAACTGAAAACTATTAGAAATAATAGAAGTAATGTGGCCAGTTTTTTAAAGATGACAGCTTTCCTATATAAGCAGACTAGTTCGAAATATTATATTATTTATAACAATATGAAGAGCCCATTTCTAGAAGCAACAACAACAAAAAATTTTTGGAAACTCTTAGAAAAACCAACATATCAGAACTACAGTAAGGAAACTTTCAGAACTTTTAATGAGGAACATGCAAAAAACCACCAACCCAAACAACAAAAAAAACCCACACTAATTTAAACACTTAATATGTTTCTAGTTAAAATCCTAAAAGGATACTTGGTGAAAGTGATCAAAGTGATTCAGAAAGTCCTAAGGAAAAACAGGCAGAAATAGACAAGCTTTGAAACATTGGACAATTAAATTATGTTCCATCTTAAAACAAATACTGTCGCCTGATATGTGCTACACGTATTTTATGAAGATATAATACAAATGTACTTCTAACCAGAAGAGAAAGATCGGGGTGGAACATAACTGAAAAGCCCAGAAACAGACCCAAATAAGACAGATGACATTTTAAAACTATGGATAGGATGAACTATTTAACAAATGCTGTTGGCATAGTTAGTATAGCCATTCAGAAAAAGTATAAAGTTGGATCCTTACCTCAAACATTTAGCAAAATAAATTCTAGAACAGTTTAGAATTAAGTGTAAAAGCAGAAAGCCAGAGAAGTAAAATAAAATTGTGTAAAAAGTAAAATAACCTTGGGCTACGGAAAACTTTTCTAAGGAGAAACCAGAAGGAAAAGATGAATAGACTCGACTACATGTAACTATTAAATTTTCCTTTATCAGAACACACCACACAGTATTTTTAAGATTATAGTTCACAAAGGGCTACCTACCTTCTATAAAAAGCTCTTCAAAGCAACAGAGAGGGAATACCTAATAACTAAACATATGAATAGTTAATACACAAAAGACACCCAGCTAGCATGTATATAAATTTCACTAGTAATCAGAGAAATACAAATTAAAACAAGATGACTTCTCACCTGTCAAAATGGCAAAGATTTAAAATGATTAAATACCCAGCATAACTAAATGAAAAGGGAAATAGGAATGTAAAACTTGCAAACCTTTCCTGAGGGCAATATGGATATAGAAAATGTTTAGATGGGCACTCTTTAGGTCAGCAACTCCAAGGAAATTCCGTACATCTGTGTGTTTGTACTTACGCAGATTTTCCTCACATTGTTATTTATAACAGAAGTTAGAAATATTTTGTGTCCAGCAATGAGGAATTGTTAAGTTTTGGTTCTTCTATAAAGGAGTAATTTACAATCACTGAAACAGGATGGAATTTAATTACTGACATAGAAGGATGTTCACAAAATATTATTAAATGAAAAACTCTAATTACAAAGCTATGGGCAGTATAATCCCACTGTTGTAAGAAAAGACATCCAACACACGCAAAATATTAATGGTGGTTATCTCTGGATGTGTTCCTACATTTTCGAATATGTACAAAAAGTAAAAAAGAAGGGTTCCAGGTTTAAAGCGTTGTCTATAAAGCATGACACAGCGGTTGTAACAAGTGCACATCCTCATCAGATAAGATTATTTCTAAGAGTCTGTTCTGTATATGAGCAAGAAGAAAACAAGGATAAAAATAGCCTCGATTTTTAGGGCAGTTTATTTACAGACTATCAAATACAGTCTTTTTTCTTTTGTTAAACAAATGGCTTATATTAAACACATTAGATTTAGGAGTTATGAGACTTTACTAAAAATTCTTGCAAAAAAGCACACCTTTACAACAAATTAATTGTGAAAAAAATTAAAGTGTGATTCACTACAGAGCCTCATTTTCAATGCGGCATTTTCAGTAAGAAAATTTTTTTTTAATGGGACATTTGATATGCTGAAAGGAATAAGACCCACAAAGTGTTAGTCTACACAATTCAAAGAGCAAGTTCTTTTCCTATATGATCAAAATTTTGTTTTCCCCACCTTCAACTGGATCCCTTGATAGCTTTTATCTTAATAGCTTTTATTTTTAATTGAACTAGAAACAGTTTAAGAAATTATCTGGAGAGGCCTTTGGTAAATGACAAACCATTGCTCCCCTTATAAAACCGCTTAAAACTATAAAAACTTGAAAGAATTTAAAAGCAGTGTTTGTTTGCAGGCCTGCTGATACGGACCTTGCTCCTACAAACAGAAAATATGTTTAAGTGAAAGATTCAGTCTTATCTAATTGTTAGATATTTAGGTAACCATTGTTTTAAAAAAGAAAATGAGGCACCTCCTTTTTAAAGACTATCCATATATGGAACAAACAGCCTCTACAGGCTCCTAATTAAGTTTTCTAAAATTTTATTTCCCTGTTTTTTCTGAAGGTTTTTTTTTTTTTTTTTTTTTGTGTTACGCGGGCCTCTCACTGTCGCGGCCTCTCCCGTTGCGGAGCACAGGCTCCGGACGTGCAGGCTCAGCGGCCATGGATCACGGGCCCAGCCGCTCCGCGGCATGTGGGATCTTCCCGGACCGGGGCACAAACCCGCGTCCCCTGCATCGGCAGGCGGACTCCCAACCACTGCGCCACGAGGGAAGCCCTAAAGCACTATCTTAACTCACATTCCACAAACTATTTTAATCAATAAACCCTTAAAATGAGTCTTAAAATTTCATGGGTGACAGCAACTCTCCAACAAATAATGAAGACGGGAAACATGAGTTGCATCCAGAAAAAGCTGCTGTATCAAGAAATACATAAGGGAATTTCACATGGGAGATAATAAATATTTTCTTCTTTTGGTATGTCCAATCTTTTTCTATTTTCATCTTCTCATTTGCAACCTGACTTACCTGTTTCTTTCAAAAAAACTTAAGCAACATTTTATGTTCCTTAAATTTCACCCAAGAATACTCAGTGATTGCTGCAGTTATTATAACATACAGAATTAGTGATTTCCCAACCCTGTTCTTTTCATTAATCCAAATTTACTTAAGTATTAAATGATATGAAAGGATGCATTAAGAGTTTTACTACCATATTTCATCAATTTTAAGAAACATTCTTTCATATAATAACATCTCTGAACTTGGGAAGTATATTACAATTGATGCATCTTAGCCTTGAGTTGTGGTTTAACTGGCAACACTTTTCCTAACTAGTGCATAAAATACTGTTGTCTCACAATCAATGCTGTCTTAGGGTGATATTAGGAGCTATAGTTCAAATCTTCAATTTCAAGCAACAATTTCCTTGTCTTCCAAGCCACTCTCCCAACATAAATACATAACTGAAATGTTAGGAATAACTATCCAAACACAGTTCAATTTTATATAAAATATTTAATTTTTAAAACACAGGCTATTCATGTCACATAAATATCTTCAATTTTAGGTTAGCTGCTACGGTCAGCAGAATTATCAAGTGTGACTATTAAGAATAACTTAGATACTGTCACTTATAGGAAAGTCTAAAGCTCTAAGACTCACCATATTAAAATTCCAGATACTTGAATACTGTAGCTATTTTGCTAAATTTCAAAATATTTCTTCACTTCCTGCAATGTAGTTTTATTATAAGTTGTTAGTATTCAATATTCAAATAAAAGTAAAATACTTTTTCATTTCTTTCTCCCCAACAACAAAAAAAATTCCATCAAAAGACATTAACTCATTTTATAGCAGTAAAATGGTGAATTATTCACTTTAAACTATTCTTACTGTTACCAAACTATAATGCTTCCCATGTACTGTTTTGAAATGAAGGTTCACAAGTCAGATGGAGGGCACAGGATTAAAAGACTGACTTTAGAACTGGAGCCATTTCCATTTGATAACAGTTGTTCCAATTTAAGATTCCAATCAAAAAATACATTACCAGGAGAACAGTTAAAACAAAATGGTGAGTTGGCACAGCTCTCCTTTCCAGAGTCTGTTTTGCCATTTAGTGCTAATGGCAACACTGGTTATTTACCTTTGGTTCCTTTCTAGGATTATTATAATGGTATGTGTGTTTGAGTGCACACACAAAGTTAGTTAAACATGACACCATTACAGTTGAAATAAGGGTTATCCATCATTCTAAAATGAACTAAAATAAAGTTACTCTAGGTGTGGTAGAAGAAGCTGTAGTAAACCTCGTAGAAAGTGAGAGAGAATAAGAGGGGTTTTTTTGCACTACTTTTTCTTCTTACTTCAGTAAATTCAACCTAAGCAATGTTTCTAGTTAACGAGTAAAATGAACAGTTAACTTTGTCTTAAAATGGCAACTGTATAACTTAAAATAAGGTGTTCGCCACCCCCCCCCCCCCCCCGTGAACTTTAACAGAATTATGCCAATTCTGTTATTAAGCCTTGTTTCTATGCTACTGCCCTCCAATTATGCATGGCAAAAGGAAACAGGGACAATGTGGCAGCCTGAAAGAAAATGGTACTCTGAAATTCTTATTTAGCTATTATTTTCAACCATTTAAATGACACAACTTTTCAGAACTTTTTCTCAGAAGTAACAAAAGGTGCTGTTGGGAGTTGGACTTTCTTTGCTCTCACTCCCATCAAGAGAAGGTGATAGTGGAAGGTAACACAACCCAAAGAAAAGGAGAAAGTGTGATAGGCAGAGGGAATGAACCTAACAGGAACCCAGCAGGTAGCCCCTAGACACTTGAGAGCTCCCTGCCTCTTCAATACAATGAATGCATTGATTCCCTTTAGAAGACAAATGGGTGTAAAGGTTAACTACTTTCTCAGACCTTAGGCTTACCTGTTAAGGCACTTACTTACCCTCCCCACCCCACCCATATTTTTCATATAAAACCCGCTATTTCATTTGAATGCATTTTGCTAGGCTATGATAATCTGAAAAATAAAACAAAAATAACGTTGACCATTTTTTTTTATAAAACTGTTGCATCAAGAGAAAGGTTGTGTTTTATTTTCTGAAATGAGCACAAAGTACACCTTTCACAATAACACTGAAAGCAGGTGCAAAGACTGACAGTGACCTTTGACTAAAGGTAGCTTTGTAAAAAGAAAAATACCAAATAAATCAGTGCCCTTTCTGATTGTTGTAAAACTGGAGGGGGGGGGAGGGGTTGGTTGTTTGTTACATAAAAGTTGGTCCAAACTTACAAAAAAGCACAAATGTGCATAGTTCAGAAGATCTGCAAGAGGGCCATAAAAGACTTATGTCCCTAACATTAGCATCCACTTAAAACTGCAAGAATACAAAATAAAATTGTTAACTAGAATTTGTGAAGATGTACAATCAATAGATCTAGTTTTTTAGAACAGCATGAATTTAAGCAAAGGTTTTTTTTGTCTTTTTTTTTAAACTATTGTATGCAAGACCCTTTTCCACATAAAAATAAAGCTGTTGTTGAATTAATATTATTCAAGTCTCTTGGATCGCTGCCTTAAACTGCAGCTAGAAAAGTCTTTCCAGATAAAAATGATGTGCCTGAGGAAAAACAGATACTCAGTATGGTAACCCTCTGCCTCGACCTCTGCCAGCTGATGTGCTAATGTGTCCCCTGTATCCTTGTGAATACCCAGGTCCTTGGGCAGGAGAAGTCCAGGTCTGTCCATGCATGAGGCCAGGGCCACCTGGGTTTTCCTGTAAGTTACCACCATAGTTATAGTTGTGCATCTTTGCTGGCAAAGGGTGAGTACTCTCTGGCCCTGTGGAAGGGTCACTGCTGTTTGCCAGGACTGCAATGGGGCCATGGCTATATTCAAATCTATGGTCCTTGTCTCCACTAAACAACATGGGACCTGTATTGAGGTAAATGTCTCCATATCCAGCTACTGAACTGGGAAATGACTCGGCAAAGGCAGAAGGCTGAGGTGGGCCACCAGAATGAGATGAAGTAGTACTGTAGTTCTCCAAGGACTGAATATCTGAGTTTCCAATGAAGCCACGTCGTTCCAGTGGTGGAGCAGAGGCGCCTCCTAGACCATCACTGCTCACATAAGGAGCAGAAGAGAAAGAAGAGGATCCAAAATTGTCCTTGTAGTCTGAAGGGGGCATATAAGTGTCTCCTGCTTGGTAGTCAATACCACTTTCTCTTTTGGGATCATCCTGGGGCTGATGCTGAGCAAGGAGCTGTAACAGGGCTGCTTTCACTCCAGCATGAGGGTCAGTTAACGAAGAACTAGTGGTGGGTACATGCTGGTTTTCTGTCCGATAATCTAGATCTTCTTCAGTGACTGGTGGTGGTTCAGGTGGCTCAGGAGGTCGCTGATCAGGAGGCAGAATACGAGGCCGGTCTGGTTCTGGCGTGAGCTCCAATATCCTCATGTCTTGGTGCTGGATGAGGTCATCTTGCCCTAAGTGAAACAAGGCAAAAAAAGAGAGTCGAAAGTTACCATAGAAAACAAAAATTTCAAAATAGTTAATGTTTTCTAAAGAGCATTAGAAGTTATATCTCTGGCAAAACACACACACACACACACACACACACACACACACACACACACACACACACACACACACACACACACACACACCAAACAAACAAAAAAACCCAACCAACCAAACAAAAACAACCCAAAAGTCAAATGAAAAAGAAAAAGGTATATGTAAGTATTAAAATATCGCCTGCTACCATTTGAGTCTATGGTGACAGAAAAATTTTGTTGTATTTGACTTTTCAAAGGCATCTCACATGTACCTATTTACTGCCTGAAGAACAAAAGCTACTGTATACATAAAGTTTCTGCCTTGGTCAATCATCCTGCTGCAACTGGAGTGAAAGATTATTTCTTAACCATAGGTTCACATGAGAAACGTTGATAGCATTCACGAGTTCTACCACCCACAGATAATTCGTTAAAGAATCAACTCCTAGGAGTACACGGACTAAGAAACCAACCTATAACCAGTGACCTGAGAATTTTCAGGACCTCTCCTAGCAAAGCTACTAAACACTACGCATTACAGCTAATCATCAACAGCAAGAAAACAGTGTGAATGCAGCCGTGTTAGTGGTCTGCTGTCTGTACACTCACCCGACACCGGAGTGCTAGGTTCTGGAGGTGGCCTGAGTTGTAATGATGCTTCATGTCCCGATCCATTTTCCCTCTCTTCCAGTAGCACATCTTTCTGCTTTGACTGCTGAGCCTTTATTAACTGAGTCAACAGAACTGCAAATGCGCTCTGCACAGCCGCCTGGGCAGCATCAGTCTCCACTTTAGGCTGGACGTTCTGAGAAGAAGGCTGAATTCCTCCCAGCGGTTTCAAAGACTCCTGTTGTGGTGTTGATGGATCTGTCTGTTTTTCACCTGTTGCCAAAATTCCAGCAGGAAGGTTTATTTTATTTAGCTGCTGTTGAGTCTCAGAGTTTACCTTAATGTTCAACACTTGGACAAAATCAGCCACACTAACACTTGTTTTAGTTTGTAGTAGGTTTAGTAGGATTGCCAATTCACTGTGGTTTAACTGCTGTCCAGGGCCTGTTTTTACTAAAGACAAAACGTGTATTAATTAGAATTGCCATGATTCACAGCTCTCCCCACCCCACAGAATGGCTGCTCTGTATTACCCTATTAAAATGTACATTCGTGGGACAGTGTTTGAGAAATACTGTGAAAAGGGAATCTCTTTCTAGTTCAATTTCATGTACATTTAAGATGTAACGGCACATAAAACAAAAAAGAAAAAGAACTGCAGTCCCTTTTGAATAAATTATCTTTAAGGGTAAATACTTCGAAAGGAAAACCAAGACCACCATTAGAACCCCATACTATAGACATGACCAGGAAACAGCACCTGAGAATGGGCACTGGATGATGATCGTGATAATGATGACGACGATGACGACTACAACTTTAGGTTCCTTTCTGAGCATTTTATATCCTTTATTCCTCACAACAACCTTATAAGGCATGCTTTATTATTGGCCCCATTTTTTTTTTTTTACTGAAGAAGAAACTGACACCCAGAGTGACTAAATAACTTGCTCAAGGTCACAAACTCTGTAAGTGGCAAAGTTGAGATTTGAACCCAGGTATTCTCATTCCAGAGTCTGAACTCTTTTTTTAAAAAATAAATTTATTTATTTTATTTATTTATTTTTGGCTGTTTGGGGTCTTCACTGCTGCGTGTGGGCTTTCTCTAGTTGCGGTGCGCGGGCTTCTCATTGCGGTGGCTTCTCCTGTTGTGGAGCACAGGCTCTAGGTGCGCAGACTACAGTAGCTGTGGCTCGCAGGCTCTAGAGGGCAGGCTCAGTAGTTGTGGCACACGGGCTTAGTTGCTCTGTGGCACGTGGGATCTTCCTGGACCAGGGCTCGAACCCGTGTCCCCTGCATTGGCAGGCGGATTCTTAACCAATGCGCCACCAGGGAAGTCCCTAGAGTCTGAACTCTTAACCGCTCCCTGTACTGCTTATATAAAATAACACGTATTTTCTAAAAACCTAACCTTATCTTTGCAGTAAATTCAAACTGGGATTTTGTAGACTGTCTGATCTAATGTCTTTTATTCAAACTCCTTTTTTTTAAAGTTAAGCACTCTTGATAAATTAGGAACTCCTACAGAAGCATGCTTATCATGTACATATAAGGTGGCATTAATTCATGACCACTAAAACAGTTGTTTTTCTTTTTCTAATTTTCAGTTTAGACTTGTGATGGTTTACGTAGGTTCTTGTGCAAGTTTATCTGAGTCATACGTAACAACAAGGCTCAAATGTACATAATACTATATATGCTAAGTGATAATACAGATAGTGATAAGCAATTTCCATAACCACAGATGACAGACTAATAGTACTCCAAGATGAAAAAGTGATGATTAATGCTTTTTAAAATATATTCTCTTTATATATTTTGATAAACTTTTTATTACTTCTTAATATTTTTAGAATAATTCAAAACAAACTCTTGCAAGTTCTTCTTGTGATCTGCAGGTATTAATAAGGAACCATGCTTGTTTGCTACACCCCAAGTGCCAGTTTTCCTCATTTTCCCTTTCATGTCTCTATTAACAGAGGTAGTCTCCACGTGATCTCAGAGAAGTACACTTTAACTGTGGTGTCTCATCTACACAGAAGGGGCATTTTTATTTCATGGCACTTATTGATGTAGTAAATGGAGCAAAGAGGATTCATTCCTATTTCAAAAAACTAGAAGCTTCACTTCTTAATACTGACAGTTTGAAAAGAGAAGGGAAGGAGGGAGGGAGGGATAAAATGAAATTCTAAAATTAACAGAGTTGTAAATATGCAAAACTAAGAAACAATAGAATTCATTTTTTATCAGCTAAAATAGAGTGAAATAACTACCCTCTATTCCACTAGGCTTCCTAGTGGAATAAGGACATCAGTTCCATGAAGAGAAGCAGAAATAAACACCTGATAGTCTTATTAAGGAATATGACAACTGTTGCCTGGGACAAGTGACCACCATCCAAATTTCCTGTTACAACCATCTCAAATCCTTTTTCAGTAGTGGATGGTATATAAAACAGGTGACATAAACACAAACCAAGAAAACTTCTTGTTACTTCTGTCTTTCTCCAAATTTTACATAGTTTTACCCTGAAGAGAAATAATACTGAACTTGATATAGACAGCCCTCAGTTTGTACAACAAATAAACATTTTTTCTCCTAAGCTACATATACATCAAATATTTTCATGTACAAGGGGAATTCACTATTTCAAGAAACTCTGAAGAATACTTTTGAACAACAAATAACAATTAATTTTGGTTTTTAAAGTAACATGTATTAGCACTTTAATGTAGTCTGACCAAGGTCAACTCTAAGCTTGTAGACTACATGGGAAAGCATTAAGGTAATCTTTCTCAAGCTTTCTCAGCTAATCTACTCTATATTTATATTTAACCACCAAAAGTTCAATCTGATCCACACAGCAGATCTGTTTTAATCAACTAACTGAGCAGTCAATACTTACTCATCTCTTAATAAGTGCTGGGCTATTTTTCATGTTTACATGTATTTATTTCTTATCATCTCTGTCTTCATTAAAACATTAAAGCTGAATGCTTTCTGGATTCTTGAGGCAAAATGAAGGCGTGGATTCCATTTTTTTAAAAGTTGTTAACTAAATAAGAGAATGAATTTAACAGCACTTCTGACACCATTGAAGAGGTTGGTTCCTCGTGAAGAAGCTTTACTCTTACAACAGATTGAGTCAGACGAAGAAATTTAACTTTCCCAAAATACCCTTCTTTATCATACTTCAAGGCACTTCTGGCACAATATCAGATCCCAGTCTGAGATTCTATAATATATTGGGAAATATATTAAAAGTAACCTGAGGACATTACAAACAGTATGAAAGAGCTTCTACTCTGATTCCTGGCTGTTTTCCTTTATCTTTCTTCTTACTCCTGAAAAGCATCCACAGACACTGAATGCTGTGCCTCACAGAATAGTGTCAGTAAAAGACCTATTGACTCTTGCACTAGGGGAAAAAAGAAGACAGAGAAAGCTGACCCATCACTAATCATATGTAATTTGATGCCTTCTTTATAAATTCATCTCACCTTGAGATTGCTTAATATTGTGGTGCCGGTAGCAGTGAAACATCTGTACTGGCACAATCGAATAACAAGGAAATGTTGAATTCAGTGTTCAACTTTTAGCCACAAGTGCTTTAACACTACAGCAATATAATTAACGCCAGCCACAAAACAATGTGAAGAAAATCAACCCATGGAAGCATTACTGACCAGGTGCTACATTCGAGTTGCCCTGAGATTTCAGTTGTGAAGACGGCAGCACACCCTGAGGCGTGTTAGTTCTGCTGTCATCCATGCCCAGAGACAAGTCCTTTCTGGGGGCTTTAATTGTGGAAACATCATCAGTCATGCCCATCTGCTTCTGTCTTCTTCGCTTTTTACTCCATAACTCATGACAATCTTGCCATAAAGGAAGGCTGGGAAAAAAAAGTATTAAACTGTTTGTCCATGACATTTCTTAACAACAACAACAAAATGATAATATATTTACTACATAGCCCCAAAGCTGCCACCCCCGCTCCCCGACAAGTTATTCTTGAAGATTTCACACACAGGCTTTGTAAACTCCTCCAACACAAATCACCCTTAATGCCCGCCTCCTTCAGGGCTTCATCTATACAGACAAACTATTTTTCTGTGGCTTCTGGATAATCAATGAATAATAACTTATTAAAACTATGAATGAAGAATATATGTTCACAAAAATAGGTTACTATTAGCCTTGGTGCAATCTTTTAAAGCCAATTTTTATCATAGTACAACATACATTGAGTAGGACATGGAAAAAAAAAGGTGAAAATATGCCACTTGCAGAAACTAGACACGGAATTAAAAAGGCTAGGACATAAATTTGCGAAAAACCTTCTAGTACAAGCTTTTTACTTTTTGAGACCCTCTTATTTGCTTCTATAGTCAAATGCTCTAGAATTAAACTGATGCTACAGAGGAGTTTCAAAAATAGATTGTAATCCAGGTTCATCAATCATCATTGAGAGTTCTGAATAACTAGCAACTATCAAAGTTATCCATAATTCTGAAACAATTCTACCTCGTGTAATTTCACAAAATTGAAACACTGCGGAATAACTTTTGTTTAAAGAAAGACAAATATTTGATTTATAAATATTTTCTTCTTACCCTAATAAAAAAATCCAGTGGGAAGTTACTATGATATCTATTTTAAAGATAAGAAAATTGAGGCTTGGAAAGGTTAATAAACTTGCCCAGAATATCTATAAATTCCCTTAAGCAGCCCCAACCTGGTCTTCAACCTGGATATGTTTACCTCTAGGGATACATGAAAACTTTCTGAGGGAGTATACTTGGAATTATTCTAAAAGAAATTCCATATCCATATGTCCTCTTTCCTAAAATTGATCTTTGAGAAGGGCCTGCATGTTCAGAAAGTTCTTTCACAATTAGTTTTATCTCATGTTATAAAATAAAGGCATATGCAACAATATGGTCAAATCTTAGCAATATAATATTAAGTGAAAAAAAAGTCATTCCCAACAGATTACAAACAGCATGACACTCTTT